CGCCGTGAGCGACGTGCGTGTGTGTCTGTGTTTTTGCGATATTTTTGCAAATTCTCTTGTTCTTCGGCTCTCTTGTTGCGCTGCGTACGGGTGTACGTGTTCGCTCTCTCTCTCTCTCTCTCTCTCTCTCTCTCTCGCCGTGTCTTTCTTCTAATCGCTTGCTTGCTCGCTCGCACGCTCACACTCTTCTAATCGCTCGCTCGCTCACACGCTTACCGCTTGCCGTTCGCGTCGTCTGCCGTTTGCTTACGCAATTTCGCATATGTTTGGCAAACACCAAGCAACAAAAAAATATGGTTTTTTTTTCGCTTCTTTCGTTTATCAGTCACACTTGACATTTTCGTTTCGGGCAGGGGAAATGCCCAAGTACATAATTACGAACAAAGATACATATTTATGTACATAAGTCCTACACAGATCTATTTTTAATTCGAAATTCCCCAAGAAACATTGCAAAGAACACCAAAATCTATAGCTTTAATGACATTTGAACTTAGATGTTCATCAACTCAGAGCAATTCCAGAAAGAAGCAGACATTAAGGGGTTTATTGATCAAAAAACGCAGAAAACTTAAGAAGAAATAGTTCAGAATTTCTTTCAAAGTGTCACTCAGAATACCTAATTATGGATCTAGACTTTGCTTTGCTGTACATTCAATGCAACAAAAAACAATTTATATTTTTGCACATTTATGATTGGGTCGTTTTTTGTGTTATCGCAGCCACGAAACAGAAGAGAGACGAAGCACGTACGCAGCGTTTCAATGAACAAATTCGATATAGAAGACAAAAGTATTTCAACAAATCGGGAAATGCAGAACCCGGAAATGATCTCACAATTTGATTCGCACTCAAAGGACACTTATCCCCAGATACTTTTTAGGTTTAGTTTAGAAGATCAAGATTCGGGGAATTTTTTGATTTTCTAATCTCACAAAAAAGTATCTTTTGCTGCTGTCAGCCAGCTGTCCAAGAAGACCTTTTGGCTTTTTGGCATTACAACACGGAGAGAAAATTGCAATGCGAGACGCAATCATTAATCAATGACAGCTCTTCCTTACATTTCCATAGTCGCAATCGATTTCAAATGGATGCGAAATATGTCTTCCGCATTGTGCCAAAACGGCGGTGTGGGGGAAACATATGTTATCTGTATCTGTTAGATTTCGTATGTAGGTCAGGCGCGGCAGCAAAAAAATGGCAAACAAAATGTGCAAAAAAAATTCGCACGCACTCATAAACAAAACACACAAAAAAAAAAAAAAAAAAAAACGAAATATAATCATAAAAAATCAACATGGAAGAGAAGAAACGAGCCGGGGGCCGCCGAAAGCCGGCTGCGTAGATTGCGTATACGCAATGTGTGTCAAGGACAGATATGTGCGAATTTTTGTAGTTCCCTCTGTCCACCGCTGGCGCCCCTTAGCCATCCCTCTCTCTCTCTCCGCTCTTTATGTTTCACTCTCGCAAACTGTTGAGAAATAGTTTGCGTTCAGCTAAAATTAAACCCAAGAACAACAGCAGGGAACAATGGCAACGCACCTACTGAACTAATTTACTCAGTCCCGCCAGTGTGTGTGTGTGCGTGTGCGTGTAGACTGCGCGTGAATGTGCGTATCTGTATAGATAGCATTGAATTTCAGCTAGAAACACTTTTTTGTGTGCCATTTCGTCTCTGGGTTTTCGCAACTATTCGCAATTCACGCCCACGGTCAAGCCAAAGGTCAGGCCCACAGATGCGGGGGGAGGCCACACAACCTAGCAAATGAGCAATGAATAAATACGTACACAAACATCTACATTATGTACTGATGTACATATGTTTGTACGCATCATTTTTGCCATATCTTTTAGTGTTCATTTCTCCATGAACTTACTTAAGTTGGATCTACGCGCTTTGAGGATTATTAAATGCTCTAATTTAAATTTAAATTTAAATTATAAAAACTGTGCTGCGGAATATATTCAAACAATTCAAGATTGAAGGAATTTCTTTGATTTCGATTTCTCCATAAATGTTGCATAGACCATGGCAAAGTCTAACTGCCCCGCCAGCCCCATGGTTAGAGTATTATTTCGCACACACAAAAATCTATATGTATGTATGGTTCGCTGCCTAACTGTTGTGTGCCCCATCGCAAGCAGCTGTGCTTCTGCGTTCCTCTCTCGCCCGCCCGCTCTCCCGCTCTTCTCTACGTCACTCTCTACCTCTCCCTCTCCCTCTCCCACTCATTCGTTTTCTATGTATGCCAAATTTCCAATTGGGTCGCACGCACAAGATACTCTTTTTTTTTTGGTTTGCGAATTTCTGTGGGTCTGTGTGTGTGAGCTTTTTTTCGCGAGCGTCGCGCGTTGATCGCGGAAACGAAACAAAACTTTTGTTGTTGCTGCTGCCGCTGCTGTTGCTGTCTCTCTGTCCCTCTCTATCTATCTTTATCTGTAGCTGTATCTGAGTGCGAAACACAACCGAACGCATTGCGTAATCGGCGCTGTACTTTTGCTCAGCGGACAGCACACAGCAGCAGCTTGACAACACACAGGCAGCACCTAAACGGGTAGAAGGTCAGTGATGAGGAGGCGCAGGGTTAGGGATTAAGCTAGTTAATGCTACCAAGTTTAGCAGCAGCTTTTAGCTAGTTAGCGCCTCGCGGAAATGTGCATAGAAAGCCAGACAGAGAGAGAGAGAGAGAGAGAGAGAGAGAGAGACACAATTGATAGATGGCACAGACAGATGTGCAGATACAAAGATACTTTACTCTAGAGATGGCCACATAACTGTGGACTGTATGTAGCCCTCCGCTCAAGCACTATTTCTGTTGAAAACAAAACCCATTTGGCATATATTTAACCAATAAATAAATATATATTTCATTTACTCCATGTGCTATGTGCAGGAAACAAAAAAGTTAGAAGTCAATTTGCACTGACGGAAAAAGAGACCAACGCAAGTCGAAGGCGCCCTGACGTCGGGCAATGACGCTGCACCAAAACTGAAAGTTTTCCTGTGCGTAAGCGGCTATACATTTAGAAGAAAATAAAAGGAAAAGATACAGATACAGATACAGATACAGATAGAGATAGAAGCGAAATGGAGGTAACGCTGCCAATGGATGACTCAAAGCCCGCACCAGCAGCAACGAATTGAATTAGCAAAAAAAAAAGAAGGAAAATAAAATTAAAGAAAAGATGAGTGGCACTGGCAAAGCCAGTAGGTGATTAAGCTGATGGTGGCAGGGGTGTTTGGGGTGCCAACAAAAGTTTTATAAGATTTGTAGCTACAGAAAGTTTTTAAGAAATTATGCAGAAAGGGCAAGCGAAAGAGTGGGAGAGTGGGAGAGAGACACGAACAATCCTTGAAGTAAAATGAATGGAAAACATTAATGGAACATTAAGAAATGCAAAAAGATTAGACAAAGATCATAAAAACTTGTGTGAGAACACCAGGATAAAGCTAATAATTATATAAGTTACGTGGATTTGAAAGGAAGCAAAAATGTAAGACATTTTATTGGGGTATGCGCATATATTTTTGATATGCATTTAAATATGTCTCGAATATCCCAGAATATCCCAGTTGAAACTGCAATGAGGCGATAAGCAAAATAATATAGAAAACTCCTTCGATGTCCAAATAAAACTTGTTAGTTACCTTGAAGAACTATGCATGAAACCGAATCCTTTTGGGTCGCATTTAAATCCCCCCACAGAACAGGTAGAATACGAAACTTTTCGCATAAATTAAAAACAAAAACAAAAAGAATCCCCCCAATGGAGAAATCTTTGTTGTAGAATTCCCCAAAACAATAAGAAAACAAAAAACTCACAGCGATCGTCACATAGGCAGAAAACACAGCAACAGCAAAAATAATGCTGCCCGAAGAGGCATTCCACTGCCGGGTTGACTTTTGCTTTTTGTGTACAGTTGTTTCAGGCTGTTGCTTTTTTTTTTCTTTCTTTTGGGTTTCTTCTGTTTCGTTCTGTGCTCTATGCGGGAATTGAAATGTGTGTGCTTTTGTGTGTGTTTTCTGTTTCTGTTTCTGTTTCTGCTTCTGCCTTTTCTGCTTTTTCATTTGCAAAATTAGCAAATTTTGTGTGCTGCTGTTCTGTGCTTGTGTGTTGTCTTTGCTGGGGCAAACGCACAAAAGCGCGTTAGGAATCAGTAAAAGAAGCAACGAAAATAAGAACATAAAGTAGTTGGAGACGGACAGAAGTAGAGAGGAAGAAGTCTCTGTCCACAGAATTTAGGTCAAATGCTCGACTGCCGCAGCTGCCGTCGCCGCTCTGCTGCGTGTCACACAATTTTTGCGAATTCTTCTCACATTTTTTTTTGCGAATTTGTATACCCTAGAAAAAATGGGAATGATTGATTGAATGAGTAAGTTACAGCCGAAATGTTTATTTATCTTATGTCAGGTTTATTATTATTGTTTATTACTGTTAGAAGGTAAATGCTGATCTGCTCTGTAAGGGTATCAAGGGATGCGACACCCAAAGCGTGACATTTTGTTGCCTATTTTTTTTATGTTTTTTGCTGATTTCATTTATCTTTTTTCGGGTTTTCTCTGTGTTTATTTGCCTTGTATTATTGTAGTTGTGGCATTGTGGTTGTACTTGTTGTTGGTGCATTAACTAACGGTTCATCAGAACGATTTCTGTGCCTACTCTCTGCCCCCCAGTTGGAAGTGTTGGGGCTGCCTCAGCAGCAACAGAATCACTCAGTAAATACAAAAATAACGAGATTAAATCAAACAAACAAAAAAAGGGCTTCTTCTCTTGGGTTTATTTATCGACAGATTCCAGGAATATTTTTGAATTGTTTTCGCTGGTCTTCGACTGAATTTGGATTCTCTTTTCCAAAACAAAAACTGAAACTTCTCTGTTATTTTGAATGCATGGGGAAATATTTCTAAAGTCTTCAGATTATTTTTATTTATAGTTCTGTATTAATACATAATAGAACATCAATAAATTCCAAATATTCACAGCCTAAACTTATTCAAATTTCGAAATTTGTACAACTTTTCAAACCCGTTCTTAAGTCTCTAATTAGATTGAAGCTGTCCCATGCAATTTGTTTTGTGCTTTTTGTGATATTTACTTTCGATCCTTGTACTATTATCCTGGACATTCAATTTGAAAGGCTGTTAAATATTATTTGAAACATTAGAAAAAAAGTGTAACATCCATCACAGGGGTGATATCAAACCTTATATGGGTTCAAAGGGTTTTCTTTTTCAGATTCTGCCGAACACCTCCGATTGCCAGTTGCCAATTGGTTTTCACACTTGACTTTTGATCGGTTTTGATCGATTTCTTGACAGTTTTCTTCGATTTTTGCTTTTTCTTGTGCTTCATGGAAGAGTTTTCAGTTGTTTTGTTGGCATTGGCATTGTTGCCCGAACTGGATAAACTCCAACGTTTGGGGGTTATCACTGTTCCACTTTTGTGTGTTATTTTCTTCAGGCGCCTGCGTTTTCTCAGTGTCTTCTGCGCGATGCTAACCGTCGACAAGATGCGTCCTTTGGATGCATTTGATCCGCTGACCTGAACGTTTGCCACTGACATCGGCAGCTGTGGTGGCGGCATCAGAGTGCGTATCCTTCGACCAGAAGCCGGTGACACTCGCACATTCTGCGGCGGTAGACTCTGGGTGGCGGCACTCTTGGGCGACAGGGTGCGCATGTTGTCGTACTTGGGCTTCTTGGCGTTCAGCTGAGCTCGCAGCTTGCTGGGATTCGGCGTTGGCTTGTATGCCTCCACCGTGTACGAGGTCGAGCCATTGGTGGATGCCGCGGAGCGTCCCAATGTCCATAGACCGTTTCGCTCCTTTTCAAAGGCGCGATAGACAAGGTGACGCGGCACGGGAATGGGCAGCTCCGCATGCCGTTGCTGGGGAAAAGGAGGGAATATAGAGATTCGAATTACCACGATATTCGTACCACAGGACATACCGAATCGTAGAGATTCCGCTGTCTGGTGCTGAGTTTAGGCCAATTAATGACCGCCCGTTCCAGGCCCTCATCAATGCTGCAGTTGTGCATTATGCACGCCTCCCGCACACAGTTGTAGAACTGCAGGGGAGTTGCATCCTCCGGTCGGAAACGCCCGAGGGCCTTGATCAGTAGCGCCCTTTGGTTTTTCTTCTCATTCTCTGGCAGCGACTGGCACTGATTCGGCGGCTCCACTTTCTCACTCGGCTGTTCCCGCTGCTGCTGCTGCTGTTCTTTTTGCATTGTTTCAGACTGAGACTTTAATGATACAGAAACGGAAATTTTGTTTAACCTTTTTGTGTGTAGGATAAGGACTGTAGGAGCTCTGAACAAAAATGGTAACTCAATGGAGTGGCAAATGAAATGAAACCAGGAGACTACTTTGTGTGGGAAACCACAATGCTGTCAGGCAGTGTTGTAAAATTACAGCAGCTATGGGGACATGCAGCTTTGTGTTTAGTCCTTCAGTGTTGAATGTTTCGTCTGAAGTTGACTCAATCAAATCGATCGAGTAAACGCAATCGATGCGATCGATGTATGCAGATCCAATCTGTCTCCTCTCTGTCTCTCTCTCTCTCTCCTTATCTTACTCTGCCTGAGCTGTGGCGTGTGTGTTTGTTTGTGCTTTTGTTTGCACACTTGAGCGAGCTTTGAGCTTAACCTTGAGCATGTGCTTGCGGTTTCTCTCTCTCTCTCTCTCTGCCGATCTCTCTCTCCCCCTCCCTGTCCTGCTCTCACTCTAATAAGTTCTAGCACTCAACGCATGCATTCAAAAGAGGAGCAGGCCATCAGGAAGAAACATGAAAAGGCGAAAAAGAAAAGGTGAAGAAGTAAAATAATTATTGAGTACCAGAACTGGCAAGTTGAGGAGCTTCTAGCGACTCTAAATATCCAACTATCGAGATCGAAAAGGTTTAGCCAGAGTAACTTCGGTCTTACATCTGTGTTCTGCCAAGAACATCCGTCGGTGCTTTGAGTTTTTAAGCCATTTATCTCACATCCATCCTAAAGGGTTGCTCCTTTATGCTATTCAAATGATGCCGAAAATACTCCAATCCTTCAAAAAAATCTCTTCGCCCAGCGAGGGTGCCACTCAGCAATTTTTGACATTTATTTCCTAGCAATGGGCGCAGGGCTTCTTGTTTGTGTCCATGGGCCAAATGGCAGCCAATGGGTTAAACGTGTAGGCATAGGGCCTCTCCCTCGCACCGCTGGCAAACTATTTGCCATCCCGCACACACACACACACACGAAGACACGCACTGTAGGCGGCGGCCCAAGCAGCAACCCTTACCGCCGCTGCGTGACTCTGCTGAACAGGCAAGCAGTGTGGAACAACCCCTACCTACCTACCTACCTTCTGGCCAGCCCACCCTTGTGTGCTCTCCTCAACCCCACCGACAGTGAACGTGTTGGCTGGTGGCGGGGGGGAACCATTCGTTCGACCATTAAATGCGTTTCAGCCAAAGAAAAGAAAGACGAGGAATGGCAATAAGCAAAAGAGAAAAGGAAAAGGAAAAGGAAAGAGAAAGAGCCACAGCCAGGGAGTGTGTGTGTGTGTGTGTGTGTGTGTGTCTGAGTGTGTACTTCTCTAGGTCTGCTGTGTTGTCCTTAGCTGAAATTGAGCTGCTACCCCTACTGCCAGCCCCATCCACATCCTTGCCTAGCCACACAGACACGCAAAACCCAAACCAACCACGCCTACTCTTTGACCTACACTGAAAGAAAACGCGAACCCATGGCTTAAAGGACGATTTATGTAGAAATTATGTATTAAAAAATGCAATTTAATGAGATAATTCGCAGTATTTCCTCTCCTTATTTTGAAGCACATCTTTTCTGCACCAATGAGCTCGTTTTTTTGGTTGCAGTGTAATTTTGTAAGCCTTGCTTTTTGGGCTTTGCGTGCTGTGTGGGACTGGGGGCTGTACAACAAATATTTGGACTATTGCTAGACACACACAGAGAGAGAGAGAGAGAGAGTGCTGGCGGTGTTACCTGCATTTTGCTCACCCCACAGCAAACCCTACTTAAACCCTAAACACACACATTTTGCACATTCTGCCATCAATTTGTAGGCGTGTGCATGTGCGTCCCACAGCACGAGAACAGGGCCAAAAGCAGCGGCCATTGGAATGAAGTTATAGTATAGCCCCAGCCCTAGACACAAGTGCATTATGCACATACATACAGATGCATATACATATACATACACATATACGTACACATGTGTGTGTGTGTGTTGCATGTGCATCTCCCTTTTGGCACCGAACGAATCGCTGGAGCGTATAGTGTGTGCCAGAGCGGGATGGGCTGAGTGGAGTGTGTGCGACAGAGGGGCGGTGAGGGGGCCTTTCAAGGAGGAATGGCATGGCATTTGTGTGTGTGTGTGCGTGTGTGTGTGTGTCGTGTGAAAATATGTTTTCTTTCATTTTTTTTTACATTTTTTTGTTGTATTTTACACAATTTGCATTTGCGCAAAAAGTGCAAAAGTTGACACACGCAAAACCCGGGCAGCTTATTAGTGTCAATGTGTGCACACACACACACACACACACATATCTCTGTTTGTGTGTGTGTGTGTGTGTGGACGCCATTTTGCTGGACAGTTTACCCTACTCCCTATTCGTATTTTTAGTTGTTTTCTTCCTTTTTATTTATACTTTTTTTTTTTTATTTTTTTTAGTTTTTTGTGCACTTACTGAAATTCTTTTTCAACCTACACCTATCTACTCTCTCTCTCTCTCTCTCTCTCTCTCTGCATTACTAACCATCCATCTTTCTCCCTCTCTCGTTACAGGTGAGTCGCAGCTCTTTATTTATTAATGGATTTTTCATTTACCCTTGAGAAACGGAAGGGACGACAAAACTTGACGTCACCCACCCAATGGGTAACAAAAAAATTGGTAATACTCTGGTAAATTACAAAAAAAAAAAGAAAAAAGAGTGGACATAAAAGGGGATAAAGGGTGGGCTGTGGCAGCTTGTAGTTGCTCCGGACGGGGGCCGGCTATAAATCAATTGAAAATAATTTGTTCGTTTTCGTTTTGTTTGCTTTTGCTAATGAAAATTGAATTGATCCATTGATTCCAAAAGTTAAGTGGCATCCCCCCCCCCCCCCCCCCCAGCAATGGCCATGAGATAATTGCATTTTAAGGCAGTTTTTTGGGGAGTTTTCGGAAATGCATTTTCAAGTTATTTCAGGTATTTGCTGTTTGTTTTATTGGAAATGTCTTGAAGTCTTGAAGAAAATTACTTAAAAAAGTGCTCCATCTCCTCCTTTATTTATTTATTTGTAGAGCATATTTTTTTCAGGAAGATCAATCATAATCTGAATCAGAATCTGGAAAGCTGGAAAATAGATTGAGATTTCAGCATTCTCCCTCTTGGGGATCTTTTCTGACTTGATCAATAAACAAAATCCAAACCAAAAAATAAACAGAAAACAAAGTAACATAAGAGAAGAACCCCCAAGGATGCCATTCGCAATGAAGGAGATTAAGTTTTGTACATGTAGCGCAGGGTATGGGCAATGAGGATTGTCTTGCAATTCGATTCAAGCTGAAATTAAGGCCTAATAATATCTTCCAGGTAGAGGGCCCAGATCTAAACACAGAACGTGACAAGAGTTCACATGAAATCAGTGCCCCTGCTGCTCCTCTCTCTCAAGATCTCTCTCTCTCTCTCTCTCTGGGTGTTGCAAGTGTTGCGCTTTTGGCATTTTCTGGCATGACGGAATGGGGGCTCCAGCTGCAACCCACGAAAGATTGGAGCCGCGAAGCCAGCGCAGCACCTACACTTTTGCCCCGAAAGCAACTTGGCAGCCTCCTACTGACTCTTCCAGCTTCCAGCATCCCAAGCATCTTGACTTCCATACCCTTTCTCCATTGTGGGCCTGTTTTGGGTTAACAAAATAGTTCAACGAACCAAACAATTATTGAAAGTTCTTTAGCATTGTTCAGTTAAATGATTGTTTGGGAAACGCGTGATGCGGCAGCGCACCTCTTCTGATAGATTCCCAATGATGTCCCCACAAGCGTTTAATATATTCCTCGACTAAAGTGACAATTTGTTCATAACAATCGATATGATTGATCCATTTGAATCGCTTTTATTGTTGGAAGGATTAATTGTTTATGGCTATATAGGACATGGCTTGGTTTATTTGTGGTAATTAATCTCTACTTTTTATCTATGAAGTATTTTTAAATTTGACAATCGATAAATGCATCCATGAATTACCTTTATAATCGTTTCTCAGTCTTAAAATGCTTGGTGTTAGGGCATTCTGTGTTCTGTATTCTTCTAACTCAAAGTCTTTTTGTTTGCCGCTGCTGCAGCTTCTGATGTTGTTGTTGTTGTTGTTGCAGTCGTATGCTGCTGCTGCTGCCTATCGTCGTTGCACTTTGGTTTTTTTGCTGCACGCAGAGCACGCATTTTCAGCGTGAAATGCAATTTCTGCGCCAGAGGAATTTCAATTGTGTTGGTGTGGCCACAGCGGGCTGCTGCGGGGCAAAGTGGGAGTGTAGCAAGGAGTTGGGGGCCCTTGGACTATGCCTCTGCCTCTGCCTCTGCCTCTGCCTCTGCGTATGTGTATAATTTGGTTTCCTTTTTGCCCGTTTTTGAAAACTCCCGCAACAAAACGGATGGATGATGGGGCCCCAAGTCAGTCTCGGGTTCTCTACGGTTCTTCGTTTCTCGATCTCAGTCGCAGTCGCAGTCTGAGTCTGAGCAGAGTTTCTGCTCTTTAGGTGCTCAGCATTTGGTTGTGTCAGTTCGTCAGTTTGTCAGTCAGTCAAACGCACGACGCTCACGCAGTAGATCACGCAATTCTAGAGGGAGATGCTCTGGAGCCTGTGGAGACTTTACTTCTTTTGCCAATTTTGCAGACCAAAGACCCGACCCATCGCATTCCTGCCTCTTCAGCTTCAGCTACTTCTACTTTTTCCAACTCTTCTTTCTTTACTTGTTTTGTGCGTTCCTTTTTTTTTTAATGTTAGTTGAACTTGGAGGCCAAAGCAAATTGCAGCTCCACACAATTTCCAAGACGTCAAAAATCTATTGTTGCTCTGTTGTTTTTTTTCTTCCCGCTCTCCCCCGATCACCGGTTGGTCTGCACTTATTTTTTGTTGCTGTTGTCGCGGGTGTGTGCTGTAAGAAAAACCAGAAAAAATCTCTGCTGGGTATCTCGATTAGCAAATCAAAGTAGAGCATGCGAAGCAAGAGTTGAGAATTGCTTGGGGGGGAATCGTATTTTGTGTCATGGATATGCCAACGTTGCCACGGATCTATAATTGTTTTTCCAACATAAAATGTACTTTTTGTAATGTATTTTTCTTT